GGGCAGGGGAAGGGGGAAAAATAAGAACCAAGAGAGATTATGTAAAGGTGCAAATTCCCAATGATGATGTCATTATATTGTATACCTAAAATGCACCAATAAATTAACATTTAAAAACAAAAACAAAAAAACCAAAGATCTGACCCCCACCCCCTCCTGGGGTACAGGGAGCAATGACAGCCATCTTGGTTGGAAAGGAACTTGTGTGATTTTTAAAGCAATTTATTCACTACGGATTGTTTCAGACGCACAAAAATAGGCAGAATCCCAGCAGGCTCATGCCCCAACGTTCTGAGTGATTTTTTTCTTTCAGTAGAGTGGATTGAACCCACTAAACTATGCTTCCCACCCTTCTTAAAATTTAGAAACAGAGTCTCGGTAAATCACTAAGTCGCCCAGGCTGCATTCAAACTAGTGATCATCCTGTCTCAGCTTCTCACAGTGCTAGGATTACACATGTGTGTACCGGTATCCATCAGATCATGACCTTGGTTTTATTGATACCATAATCTCTTCTCCAGGGCTTGTATTCTCTTGATGTAAATCCCAGACAACATATCATTTTCCTCACAAATAATTTAGAATTTTAAAATAGGGCCTCTTAAAAAAGCACACTTTCACCTAAAACAAGGGCAAAATAATTTAGAAGTATTAAAAATCTATTCAGTGTGTAAATTTTCGATTTTACTTGTTTCCTGGGTGTGCTTCCTGCTGTCCTGACTCAGGAACTGACAAGGCTGTCAGGACTGGCCAATGTGCTTGCTGGGCCTTCAGGGAGGTGACCTCCGACCCTCCAATTCCCTGCTGAAGGATTCGTAAATCCATGCTGCTGCTCCTATCTATTGGCAGCTGTCTGGAACAGTTTAACCAAATTCAGGTCTCCTGATTCGCTTTCTTTTTGGCAAGACTGACTTAAGAGATGTATTCTTTCATCAGGAGGCACCAATATCTGGCTGTTTTTCTCTGATGTCAGTGGTTTTTGAAGCTCAGTGCTCAGGCCCAAGAACCCTTATGGCGGAAAATGGTCAGGCTGCTTCTCTGCATCTCCACTCATCCACTCAGTGGTTACCTGGCAAGGGGATAGTTTGCCAAGGAAAGGGGAGGAAAATGTTTGATTCTTTCTCTCATGTTATAAGTTTTCAAAACAGATTGGTTAACTGGCATCCTGCAAAGGTGACTGATTTGTTTGTAATAATAAAACTACTGGCCACGTAGTCTGTTGGCCTCTGCGTGTCTCTCTTCTGGGACCTGGAAGTCTTCTAGAGAAAAGTATGCTTAAAATCCTCCTCCTGGGATATTGAGTACACTAATTTTTAAGGGTAAAGGTGGTATTTAATGAAAGGACTCATAGCTCCACGTAGACAAATAAATATGTGAAAACAGGGAGTTTAAAAAAGCCACAGGGATACATATTATATTAGGACACATTATAAAGCATCTATATTTTAAAAAGCTTGATGCGTGTATAGAAATGGATGCCATGGAGTTAAAAATCCCAGAAGGAGAAAGAGGAAAAAGAGGAGGACGGAAAGGAGGAGGAAGAGGAGGAAAAAGGAAAGAGGAGGAGAAAACATGTTTGTGTCTAATATGAATCTTCACAATTGAATATATCATGTGTTGTAATGGATGTACTTAATGTCCTCATGTGAAATAAACATTTTCTGAATTTTGGTGCCTGCAATTTTTCATTACTTTTGTGTGGACCATCCTACTGCCATTTTTGTTGCCACTCCTGTCTTGTAAGTCTTCAATTAACATCTGATTTAATGGAAACTTTGTGAAGCCTAGTCTGCAAGAGGTCATGGTCTGGGTGAAGAATTCATGGGATAAAATCACTGACAGCTGTGTTGCTGAAGCACTAGGAGCAGGCTACATGGACAGGAAGTGCTCATTTAAGGAGAGCTCTGTTGCTGGACATGAGATATTGAGACCAGTGGTTCTACAGGAAATGGAGTCACAAGAAATTCGGGCCAGAATTCGGGGTTTGGAGAGTTATGACAATGTTCCAGAAGAAAATGACATGACTGTATTTGAATAAATGTAAATTTTTGTACATGAATAAATGTAGATTGTTGTATGTGAAAAAATAAGATATCCCCTAAAAATAACCCTTTTGAAGCAAAAATTATCCTAAGGCCTGGTCTTATTTTTGGGGAAATATGGTACTGAAAAGAGCCAGAAAGGAGGAAAAATACCTTATCTGGAGGAACAAAGATAAGAATTACATTGACTTCTCATCAGACACATGTGAGCAAGAAGCTGTGGGGTAAAATATTTGGTGCTGAGAGAAAACCCCCACCAACCTTAGAACTCTGTATACTGTGAAATTACCCTTCAAAAGTGGAGACTGCCTTGCAAGCACAAGGTCCCGAGTTCGAACCCTGGTACAAAAGAAAAAAAAAGTGAAGGAGAAATAAGGATTTTTTTTTCAGGTAAACAAAAATTGAGGAGGCTTGTTGTCATTAGACCTACTGTTCAAAAAATTTTAAATGAACTATACTGGTACCTTGGTTCATGAACTTAATTCATTCCATGATTCTGGTCATGAACCAAATCAAAATTTCCTATAAGGTTCAATGTAAATACAATTAATCTGTTCTGACCCCTACGAACGTGGCTGTGAACTGATTTTGGTCACAAACTGAGTCAAATTTTCCCATAAGATTTAATGTAAATAAGGGTAATCCATTCTGAACCATATGTATTTCTTTAACCACAAAACTATGGAACAAAGTATAGTACAGTACAGTATGAAGGGAGAGAGAGAACACTAACCTTGCTTCAGGTGACTTCTGGCATGGATGATAGGAAGGTAGGTGGGAAGGAAGTTATTGTTTGGAGGGAGAGTCCCCCTCCATAAAGACATTGGGGAGATCTCCTTCAGCAGTTTCTTCTCTTCTCTGTCTCTTAACTCCAGGGTCAATCTTGATTAAAAAAAATTTTGTCTAATATCATTTGTTTTTTCCAGCACTGCATGGAAAATGAAACCTTCTGGAAATGAGAGACCATGCTATGTTGGGGTGGTGCTTTCTCAAAAAAATCCTGGTACTCATTCCATTTTTCCATAATGGATTTTATCACAACACCGCCGTCCTCCTCCCTGTCTGTCTTTTCCTCGGTGGAACACTCCCCAACAAGCCCCTTCTGGTATCCACTCTGGAGTTCAGTAAGGTCTGTCATCAGCTCCTTACAGCTCTCAACGAGCTCCTCTATGTCTGCACCATCGATGTCCAGACCCATCTTCCTGCCCATGGACACATCTCCTCCACTGCCTGTGCATCAGACCCTTCAAAGCCACATTCAGTGACACATCCTGGCCGCAGTTTCTTCTGAGTTTGAGGTCTGTTGTGTGACATCTTCTCAGGCTTTGTCAATGAGTTTGATGCAGTGGAGGACACTGAAATCTTTCTTTCAGAACTCCTTCAGAGTCGAGGAAGTCTTTTCTGTGACATTAAACACCTGAAGAGCACCTTTGTGTACAGCCTGAAGTTGCAGGTCACTTGGAGGTCCATTGGCCGCAAAGAAGTGTCACGTTGGCTGGGAGAGGAACTTGACCTTTATGAAGTCATACTCAGAGTCTACATCATCTACCAAGGCTAGAGGATGTGGGGGGGATTGTCCATCAGAAGCAGGCCCCTTTCAGGCAGTTGATTGTCAGAAAGATATTTTTTATCTTTGGGTTCTGGGGATTGAACTCAGGACCTTGTGCTTTCGAGGCAGGCACGACACTACTGAGCTAAATCCCCAGCACAGAAAGATATTTCTTAATGGTGAGTGTGAACATCTTGTGCAGCCATTCCATGAACAACTGCCTTGTGACCCAAGCTTTCACATTGGCTCTCCACAGGACAGGCAGTCTGGCCTTGTTCACATTCTGTTCTTTGAATGCATGAGGGGTCTGGGAATGGTGCACCAGTAGTGCCTTAATCTTCAAATTGGTGCTTGTGTTCACACACAGCAAAAGGGTCAATCTGTCCTTCAGGGGCTTGTGCCCCTGCAGTGCCTTTTCCTCCTGAGTGATACAGGTTTTGTCCATCATCTTCTTCCAGAAAAGTTCTGTTTCATAGCAGTTGAACACTTGTTGAATGGTGTATTCATGAACTCTTTCTTGTAGGTTTCCACAGTGACATTGTCAGAGCCGGAGCCTCACTCTTGGCTTACCACACTGTGGGTGCTACTTCCCTTACAGAATTTGTCAAGCCAGCCTCTACTGGCTTCAAATTCATCACTTGTTGCACTTGTACAGGGGTTTTCTTGCAGTTAATCACTGTGTAATTTCTTGGCTTTTTCACAGATCATAGCTTCACTAATGATATCACCTGCCAGCTGTTTCTCATTCAACCACAGTAACAAGTTTTTCCACCTCTTCCAGAACTTGTGTTTTATCTTGGTTAACATTATTACTCCTTTTGCCATATCAGCTCATGGCACTTTTATTCTTCAAAATAGTTGAGATGGTCAGCTTCGCCATCTTGTACTCTGAGGCCAGATCAGTCACACAAATATCATGCTCATGCTCGCTACAATTTCCTTCTTCAATTAAATGGCTATTTTCTTTGAAACCTTACTCTTCTCTGCACATTCTTACCACTCTGTGCATTGTGGTTACTCTCATTACCACTGCATATTCTTGTCACCTTCATGACTGCTCTGAACTTTCTTTGGATTGAATAGTACTGTACAGTACTGTATGTACAAAAAAGCTTCAGAGCAAGTGTACATAGGTCTGTCTCTGACTGTAATCCCAATTAGAGGAAGCCACCACCACGTGTCAGAGCAGGGAAGTTGGCTGCATTCGTGTTTGTGTGGGGAAGGTGGCTGCAGTCATGTTTGTCACCTGATGTGGAGTTCTCGAATGGAAGCAAATTTTGCTGAATGCTTCTGCTCATGAACCGAATTGTTTGGCAACAGAGGTGTTCGCGAACTGAGGCATTACTGCACTTTACAGAAGGAAAATGATACAGGTTGGAAATTCAAGATCTGGATAGAGAAAGGACAAGTGCTGGAGAAGGAATAAGTGAAATAAAAGAAAAAAATCTTACTTTTCTTATTCTTAGTTGATCTAACAGATAAGTTTGTTCATCAGCATCAAAATACACAAGGTGAAACCAACAGAACTGCCAAGAAAGACAAAAATTCATGTCATAGTTGGAGACTGTTCCACTATCAGAAATGCAGATCCAGCAGGCAGAAAACCAGTACAGACACAGGCAAACTCAACACCATCATCTGGGCAACTACAGACCACCTCTTCCAACAGCAGAACGCACATTCTTCTCAAGCTCATATCAACCATTCACCAAGAGGAACCTCATTCTGGGCCATAAAGCATGTCTAAAGATTTAAAGAACAGAAATAATGCAATCTACTCTTAGACCATAATGGAATTAGGACAGAAATCAGTAAGAGGAGGATAACTTGGAAATTCCCAAATACTTAAGAGATTAAATAATACATATCTAAATAACAATTTGTCAAAAAGAGAAGTAAAAAATATTTGAACTAAATGAAAAAGGGAACTTATCAAAATTTGTAAGAGGCAGCAAAAGCAGTGCTTAGAGGGAAATGTATATCATTGAATACATACTGTATTTTAAAGCTTAAATTTAAAGTCCCACCTTAGGAAACTAGAAGAATGAATCACTTCAAAGTAACTAGATGAAATAATAAAAATTACAGCAGAAATCAATGAAATTAAAAGGAGAAAGTGAATAAAGAAAAATAAATGAAACAAAAAGCTGGTTCTCTGAAAAGATAAAATTGATAAGCCTCCATCCACGCCAATTATGCAAAGGTGGGGACATCACTCCAATCCCATGGTCATTAAAAGAACAAAGGAATATTGAGCAACTTTATGCCCAGACTTGAAAACTTACATAAAATTGACCCTCATACAATTGTCAAAATGCAGAATAAGAAGCAATCAAAAGTACCTGCCCCAGATAGGTTCACTGGTGATCGAATATTTAAAGAAATTACACCAATTCTCTACAATTTGTTGGTTTGTTTGATTTTTTTGGTACCAGGGATCGAACTCAGGACCTTGCACTTGCAAGGCAGGCGCTGGAACCCACTGAGCTAAATCCCCAGCCCCAGTTCTCTACAATTTGTTCTGCAATGTGCACCTTGGCATTTACCACAAAACTTACACATGGATGTTTACAGCAGATTTTTTTCATAATTGCCCAAACCTGGATAACCAAGATGAGATGTCCTTTAGGAGGTGAATGGATAAATCAACTGAGGACCATCCAGATGATGAAATACTAGTGCTAAAAAGAATGAGTTATCATGCCATAAAAAGATGTGGAAGAAACTTAGGTACATGTTAATAAGTGAAAAAAAGCCAGTCTCAAAATACTACACATCTACGATACCAACTGCATGACTTTCTGGGGAAGAGAAAACTATGAGAACAGTAAAAAGATGAGTGGTTTTCAGGGGCTAGAGGTCAGGAACATATGGGTGGGACACAGTATTTTTAAGGTAGTGAAATGATTTGGTATGACACTGTCATGATGGGTACTTTACATGTGTCAAAATCCATGACTGGGGACTCCCAGTCCCTGTTGGGAGCCTTTGGAGGTCCCATGGGCCTGCCAGGTATCTGCACTGACAGCACTGTATGCGAAGATCAGCACTTCTGATTGTTCTGAAAACTTAGCATGAAAAGCTCTGGGTATGAAATCTACTCCTGTTGTTGTATGAAATGTCAATATTCCATTTCTTAAACAAGAAAACAAAGAATACTTCATTAAACTTCAGTTACAGATTTTCAAGTTTTGGAAATAATTTATGAAGTTTATTACCTATTTATATAGAGTTCTCTTGTCAGATTTTTTAATCACAAATTTCTTTCTAGCCATTTTAGGCGTTAAGACTTGACATAGATTATGCTCAGGAAGCCAGTTCAGGTTTCCTATTATTTTTTTCCTAAAAAGACTTTGTTTGAAATATTTGCACAGATATTCAATATTTAACATTTCCCTCAACACTGAGTAGCTCTTTGCATAACACAGAGAACTGAACTTGGGCCACAGAGCCATTCCAGTGCCTTGTGCAGCAGAACTTCTGTGGCTCCTCCAGCCATCAAATGTGTGTAGGAGCTGTAGGAAGGGGGGGGGTCAGTGTCCCCAAGGTCAGGGTACTACTGGGGAGCTGAGCACAGGAGCTGCCCCATAGGGCAGAACACACAGCTGGTCCTGTCAGAGGCAAGAGCTGCGGATGGCCTGGGGTCTTCCAACACCTAGCCTGCCGCTGCCCAGCCATTCCTCTTGATGCTGGGTAAAGCGGCCCAAACAGGCAGGCAGGGAAAATCAGTTTTAAGTGACTGGTGTGGTTGTGCCCCATGCTGGGTCCCACCTCAAACATGAGGGCAGAGAGTGAAGAACAGATGTGCACCAGGGGGTCCAGTTGGCCCTCCCCGTGCCCAGGACGTGTGATAATCCTACTGTTCCTACGGGCAAGGAGGGAAGGCCCAGCATCTTCCCGCAGCTGCCTCTCTTCACTCATCCTGAAAGACAGGCATCTGGGTCCATGTTAAAAAAAGACTGCTGTTCAGTGGGGACACACAGAAAGGGCGGAGATGTACCCCTAACATCAGCAGACACCGCTGACCAGGTGACCAGGTCAGGTGGGCCACTGTGAGGGGCGGTGTCCAGGATTCTGCTTTGCAATTGGCAGTGGTGGTCAGTGTCTTGGGTATGGTCCCCTGGCTGCAGTCCAGCACATGTGGGCCCCCCGTGCTGGCCCCAGCCCTTTCCTTCCCGACTTTGCCACCCCGTGTCCCATCAGTATTTCTATTCTGTTTAGGGAGAGCCCCACAGTATAACTGGACCTCCTACAAAGTAGGGGGGGATTTGACCAAGAACAGAACAGGGGTTCCCCAAGTATCTCATTGTGATGACCGAATGTCCAGCTTTAGAAGCCTGGGACTGGGAACATGCTGCACACGGAGGGCCCAAGTCCTCTGCAGAGCGACAACACTGAGGAGACTGAATAGCTGCTGAGCTCTCTTGGGCTGTGCAAAGGATAGAAGCCCCATCCTTGATCCCCACTGTCAGCACACCTATTTTTTCTTGTGCATCTATTTTTTTCTTTTGCATTTCATACCTCTGTAAATTCAGCTGCAAGAAAACTTGCTTTCTTTGGAATAATAATATATAAATCTACTTTTATTTTTCTACCCAATTCACCTCTGGCCCTGTAGTGGCAAAATTTAATCTGGAACCAAGAATGAGTCATAGCGGCCACTTTAGGCAGCCAGTGTCCTTCAGACAGCCCTCGGTCACCTTGAGTTTGTCAGAGCCCTGCAAGAGGCCAGTGGTAAAGCTACCTCTGACTGTGGCTCTGTAGATCATCTGTAATAGAAATGGTCTTCCTGCTGGTAAGCTGCTGCCTTTCTTCAAATTGCACTGTCAACACTTTGCAGTCACTTGACCATGCATTTGGGACCTTTGGCTCCTCTATCTGCTTAGGGAGCCTCCTGAGCTGAGATGGCCTGGGTCTATCTGTGGTTCTTGAGAGCTGCATCTTGCTGACAGAGATGGCTCCCATCACTTCCCCTCTCATAACGGCGGACAGGAGTAACAAAGCCAATGTTCTTGAGAGAAGGCTGTGACTGAAGAGGGTAGTGCCCCGACCTGTCACATGGGCAAGACAAACATGAAGCACGAGACGCACTGTCAGGGGCAGGATGGTAGACAGCCACTGACAGCCCAGGACCTGCAGTTCCTGGGGGCGACATCCTAGATGGGCACTTTACTGAGAGCATTACTATGAAAGTAACTTAAGATGAGCGGATAATTCAGCTCCCAATGTCTGAGCACATGGGACTGCCAACATCCAGTTATACCTGACACTCTAGCCACAACTCAGAAAATCAAGTTAATATATGAAAACCACCTTACTAGAGCTGTGATTCTATTACTTGGAGATAAAAAGAGGAGAAGTAATATGTAGCCTTAGCCTAACATTCACTTTTTTTTTTGGTACTGGGGATCAAACTCAGGACCTTGCACTTGCAAGGCAGGCACGTGAGCTAAATCCCTGGCCCCTAACATTCCCTTTTAATGTGGTAATTAATCCACAAATGTGACAGTGAAAGGTTTACTGCGCTTTGACTTAAAAGTTGAAGTAGTTAAACAATGATGTCTTTAAGAAATACTCACCCTGGCCTCAGTACCAGCCCTGTGATTGTCTTCTACACAGGACAGGCCCAGGTCACTGACCATGGATACTCGGACCCATGTGGACTCTGGATTTCTTTCTCCACACTCCAAAGCTTAGCAGGGACCAGGCTCTGAGGAGGTGGTGGGTGCCACTGAGACTGCTCTGCCCAAGATCTCAGAGCACGACATGAAGACAAGAGCCCACCATGTGTGTGGTTGTTTCTCAGGGGGGCCTGTGAGCCAGACCCTGACTTTAGTGGCAGCCATGTTAAAGGTCTGGTAGATGTTTGGCAGGATGAACTCATTCTCCAACTATGGGCAGGAAGTTCCAGGGTCAGAGCTGCCTTTCCTGAGGTGCTCAAAGTTAACTTTTTGTTATTTTAATAATCAAAAGTAACAATGACCCTTGGTATTCTTAATGTTTTGGTGCCATCTTTAAAAAAATTTTTCCCATAATAAGAGAGTAACAGTCATGGAGCTGCTTAAGAGAGTACGTTCAACTAGTTGTTCTGTTTGAGACTTTTAAGGCCCTGGTAACTCTTTAATAGCTCCTTAGTGTGCTGTGTTCTCTTCTTCAAATTCTGACAAACTGGCTGAGAGATGGTCACCCCCATTCCCAACAGGGCATCCATCAGACAAGCCGAGAAACCTGGAGAAAGGGTCCCACTAACTGCCCCACTGCATCCCAAGAGAACATACAAAGGGACTTTTATTAAATGAAAGAAAACTGTTTTATAGGTCAAATATGAAATAGATATACAAAAACTTTACAGCAGATCTCTCAAAGAAGTATAAGGCCACCCAAGAAAAGGGAAGCCCCCTTCATCAACATCCCCATGGTGGGAGGATATGGCCGCTGGCAGCCCAGGTTGCAGAGGGACCCATGCTGGAGGCCGCAGGTCACCCGAAGGTCCTCTGAGGGACATGGAATCAGCTGGGGGCTTGTAGGCTGTCTGTAGCTCTTGCTGTTCTATACACATGTACATTGCTGTTTCATTTAAAAATCCTTCAGAACTTCAGCTTCAGCTGTGAGAAAGCAAGACAAGATGCCAGGTTCTTGCTATAACATTCTTTAAGTCTTCTTGGCTCTTCCAGAGTCTTCACCCTAAATAATATACTGTAGTATTTAAAGGGATCCCCCAAAGGAAAATAACCCTTACTATGTGACAAGAAACCACAAATATCCAGTCTCAATTACATGCAAGGCTCTGCTGAGCTCTTTGGCATAGCACACCAATTCCCATAACACTTTGTCACTTAAAAAAGTAGACATTCCTTAGTAAAACCTCTTAAAAACACCTGTTTCTGCAAAATAATGTGTTTCTGTATGTGGAGCTCTAGAAAATACAAGTCTTTGTGGAGAAAGGGGAATGAGGGCTGGCACAGGGCATGTAAAGAGGGCCCAAAGTCACATAAGGTCATTCAGCTCAGCCTCCAGTGCTGCTGCCATCTCGTCTGCCTCAGAGCTGCTGCCCTCGTCTTCGTTGCTGGACTCCTTGCTGGACTCACTGGCAGCATCCTCGTCATTCAACTTCCTTTTGTGGCCTCTAAGAAGAAAAGAGAAGCAAATCTGCTGTGAATTGCTGGCGGCACGGTGGGCAAATATGCAGCACACTGCTGTCACTTTGTGATCTGAATTTGCAAAGGGGCCTTCCTGGTCTCAGGGCAAGAAACAACTGTGATCCTGAGTCAGGAACACATGCTTGGCCACTGGGGCCAGGGGCCACATCCCATGGGCTCCCTCTGCCCTTCCTAGTCCGGTTCTGGGTGTGGAGATGGTGAAAGCAGAGGTCCCACAGTGCTGTTAGAAACCACCTCAACCCTTGGCCATGCACCAGGACAGTGCAGCACCACTCCCCTGAAGTGCTCCATCTTCCTCCAAGAGATTTATCAGTACGTAAAAATTCGTGTGAAGTTAGTAGTCATTAAAAAAAGGAAGCTAAAGGGCAGAAGAGTACGTTAGTGATATGTTCAGTACACAAACCCCTTGCTGTGACCTCCTGAATATGGGCGCAGCATCCACTGCCCCAGGAAGGTGGAGGGGGCCATGATGAGGACTGCACATGCTCACACCCACATGGCTCCCAGGCTGCAGGCAGGAGGAGGTACTTCAGTGGGACCTCAAAGGCACTGACTAAAGCCAGACTGGCTGTCAGGGTGAACGGGGCACACCACTGTGCCATGGATGTGGTGTGGTGGTGGGGTTGTGGGGTCTTCATTCCAAGCTGCTATGGACACGCTGCCTCTGCTCTCCAAGGAGTCACCCTCACTTGTGAGCAGCTCCAAGTGCCAGTCAGGTATATGGTGATTGCTTTTCATCTGTGGAGCTGATGGACATACATCGCCTTCCTTTGCCACTCGATACTCCAGATACCAGTGGCCAGACTTTGATCAGCACAAAGAACAGTCATATATCCACACGTGGGCAAGTAATCCAACGCTGCACCCTCCACTGTACCTCCTAATGCTCAGTGCAACTTGCTTCTGTTAAGTCAGCAAACAGAAAATGGGAGCCCAATCAAATGCACCCACTGGGTGGTCCCTTGTTTCAAAACTCATTTTCTCACGCAGTCACTAGAACGAATTACATGAATAAATAAAAATAAACTCTAGCATTTTGTATAACCAGAAAATACCATTATTATTTTTAAAAACTGAGCACTGCAGATCAGCTTTCATCCAGTGGAACCTGTGGACCATAAACAGAAAATGTGTAGGAGATTTCCAAAGTCCTGCAGTTCCAAATAGCTAGTGGCTGGCACAGCACCCTGCCTTTCTGTGGCCTCCAGGCTGGTGTCCCACTGCTCAAGGAAGCCAGCAACAATCTACACGGTAGCCCAACTAGATGTACCACACCTACTTGATTCCATCCAGATGAAGGGGTAATGGGCAGTCCAGGTCTGAAATTCCAATCTGTGAAGCACATCTCTCTTACGGACAATGTGCTGTGATTGTGGTGATGATATACGAATTCCTTAAAAACAATTTTCTGGCTAACATACATATAATATAGATAACGTACATATGCATGTAACATGTATGTACAGCAGACACTAAAACACACAATTACAGCATAATAATTTGAAACCACTAATGCTGACTTTTAGAAATGGTTTTCCTAACTGTAAGAGACAAATGTAATCTGACAATAAGATAGGATGGAACCAGCAGAAGACAGGACCACCTTTCTGAATGGTGTCCAAAGGAAAGGATGTGCCCAGAATAGGTCAGCGATAGCAAGTTTGCTCTGAGCATCTGAGTACTCATACTACAGTGAATACAATAGAGACAGACACAATAGTTCTTCGGATGGCCAACTCAAGGATAGCTGGAAGAGAGTAAGGGTAACTTCCCACACCCCCAGGCCTTGTGTGCTGGGCTGCCAGCCTGTCCCATGCCCTGAAAACCCATGTGAGAGGAAGTCTGACCTTTCACCTACATGCTGGGACCTCTGGGCCCATGAGATCATCTTTTAAGAAGTCATGCATTCTAAGTTCTAAAAGAATATATCATTTTTATGTCAACTAGAGTGAACAGTATTATTTACTAAGGAAGAAGGTTTATCGGTTTTTATTTTTACATAAAAATGAAGGGTTGGATCAAAACTGATGTGGAAAGTAGAATTCCTCACATTAGAGTCTGAAAATAAGATTATAAGGAATGCATGAAGGAATGGTGAAAGCAGAATTTAATCCCTCCTCATTCCACTAAAAGGAGGTTACAAAGGGGGTTCCTGAGCAGAAATTCTTGATGGAAACCATGACAAACAAAGCGACCACTCTGGCAGACCATGTGCTGACCGGGCCATGAGATCAGTCATGGTGCACCGTGGCAGGGATGGGGCATCTCAGCGAGGATGGGCCAGAGGCCCTTGGAGACACTGTGGGTGTCTTTGACCTCACCTCCATAGTTTCCTCAAAAGGCACAGTGGCCTTTAGGAGCAGTGCTGCACAAGGCATAGTGGCTGCCACCATTCTGGAACCTGCCCCTGGTTCTATTCTTGGCTCTTTTCCCAGAGGGAGGTTTGGACTTGAAGGTGCAGAGCCTCCAGTGTGGCCGCCCATGACACATTCTGACCTCTGTAGTACAGAGCACCTGGCCCTGCACACAGCATGCTAGTCCATGTGCTTGCTCCCGCTGCTCCAGAGTAGTGTTAAGTTATCAAACACAGCAGCACGGAAGAGTTACGTCCATAACTGTGGCCCCAGTGGCTTCTTATCTCATGTGGTGGTGTCAGGTTTCTGTTCAGTCTTTGCCATTCTAGCCAGTGTATACTAAAACCTCACTGTGGCTTTGATTCCTATTTGTCTGGTGACTAATGATGCATCTTTGTCTGTGTTTTTATTAGATTGTGTATTTTCTCACTGTTCACGTCTAACAGCTCTTTACATATGGTAGATATCACTTCTTTTCAGATGTGTGCTTGTGGCTATTTCCTCCTAGTTTTTGGGTTGCCTCTTCATTCTCCTCAGCATTTTTTGCAAAGCAAAAGTTATCTTTTGTCTTATGACCAATACTTTTAGTATTGTAACTAAAAACTCACTGTGTAACACATGGTCAAAAAGATTTTCTCCAATGTTTTCTTCTTTAAGCTTCAGTTTTAATTTCGGTCTGTAATCTATTTTGAGTTAATTTGTGTCTAAGTAAGGTATGGGTTGAGATTTTTTTTTTTTTTTGCATTTGGACATTTAACTGTTGTAGCACCCACCATTTGTAGGAAAGAATATTAAGAGTTGTATGTGAAACATACATAAAAAGACCTACAATTCAGGGGAACCTTTTGAATCTTGAAATGAGAAGAAAGATGTACTTGGATGCATGAAAATTAGTATTTTTTTTTTTTAGCAAAAGAGACTACAAAGAAACAAACACTAGATTTATACACAGATGGCACATGCAACGTGGCTTATGATGTATAAAACTATAAGCCACTAAGACAACACATAATCTAATTGGGAGAAACACTCCCAGAATAAAGCAAAACAACTAAAATTAAAAATGATCAGCAAATGCAAAACAATACCAGGGGAATGCAAATTAGGGTAATAATCTAGTATCACACCCTACTACCATGCTGGAAATAATCCTGCCAAGACAGTCTTTGGGAAGTAAGCGGAACAGTATCTATTAACACTGAAAATACACATCTCCTGTGACCCACAACCTCATCTGCAGGGATCTGAAGATGAGCCTATCTGCCCAAGGATGTTTGTCACTGAGTTAATACACAGAGGCAGGTGCAGCCCAGCCCAGGTGGCGACAGGATGGAAGGGAAGCTTAAGATTCCCAGGTTACTGAGTGAAGTGCAGAACTGGTAGAAGCTAATGAGGACCTGGATGTAGGACAAGTGCTGGGGACAACCTGGACCAATTTCTGAAACATATCTTTGATATCTAGGCTTACAGAGCTATAACTAAATCTCACTCACCCTCCAAAATACTTCTTCCAATTTTTACTTACTTTCCCAGCAGCCTTGCCAAACTGCACTGAGCAGCCTTGGGGCAACATAGATAGACAGACAGACAGACAGACAGACAGACACACACACACACACAGTGTGAGAGTGAGTACTGGGTCTCCTGGTGGAAGGAGTACTCACAGGGAAGATAGGCCTGCTCAAGGACAGGACGTGGACCATGCCTGCACTCTGCTCTGGGAAGGCTGGCACTGGGCTGTATTCTCAGGCTTTATCTTGAACGGTTGGGCATAAAGGAACTTCAGGTGGTTTGTCAGGGGAGACAAAGAGATGTCAGGACAGATGTGCAACCACATACAATCCTACTATGGGCAAAATGTCGTGCCTTGGGGTATGCGGAGGTATGCATCTCCCTTTTAAAAGATTCTTATGTTTTAAATTATTGATGATAAAATATCATTTCTTGATACAAATTCCAAAATTCCAAGTGTGACAGAGCAGACCGCCATACCCGCCCAAGTCCAGCTCAGGGCTACCTGGTGTTGTCTGGAACGAGTCACAGGGGGAGGCATGTGCAGGTGTGTGCTCTTCTCATTCTAAAGACAGGACATGTAGCAGCCTTGTACTCATCAGACAAAGGAAAAGGAGAAAACCCAATCAGCCTTATTCTAACAAAGTATGGACCACTCAGGATGGGGGCACAAGCCTATGGTGCCATCTCACCATAGGAGGCAGACCCAGGCAAAACCCAGACTATTTCTCCCATTCTTTCTGTTCATATCAAAGCCAGAACAGATGCAGCCTGAGGACCCAGACAGTAACACCTGCCACACAATCTCAAAACAACAGGTATTACTTTTTAATGTAGTTTCTTTTTTTTTTAGTACCGGAGATCGAACTCAGATCATTCCACTTGCAAGGCAGTTGGCAGAACCACTGAGCTAAATCCCCGGCCCCATATGTATTTTTTTTCCATTAAGTGTATTGGTACATTTTAGGTATAAATCATCATTAGGATCTTGTACCTTTACATGATGTATCTTGGTTCTTATTTTTTCCCCTTCCCCTCCCTTCACCCCTTCCACCCTTCTCTATTTGCAAAGACTTTGTTTCCATCTTTTTCCCTTTTCT